CACTGCTCCCTGGGACAGGACCTGCCCTGTGCCACTGCTCCCCTGGCCTGCACAGCCCCTGAGCCCCAGAGTGTCCCCAGCAGGCTGGACACACCCCAAGGATGAGCTCCCTGGTCTATGCATGCTCTGTGAACAGGCAGGACACCGAGCCTGGCAGGCTGGACCATCCAGAGGAGATCCTCTGCCTCCTGCAGGGCACATCCCCACAGGACAGACACTGCTGGGAGCTGGGTGTTCCCAGGGCTGTGCCAGTGCTCCACGGATCAGAGTCAAATATTCCACACTCCCAGCACTAACTCAGCCTTCACTCCACTGACTCAGTATTCCTGTCAAACACCCACTTCCATTTAAGACCTGTGGGCTCAAATTCACATAATCAAGGAAACCTTACGCAGTCCTAAAGCAAAAAGAAAAACTTACTGAGGAACAAAAAGCCAAGTGTACCTTACTTCACTGAAATCTCATGTTTATTTTTGTCAAGACTGAAAAAAAAATAAATTCCTGAAGGCTGCACTGCTCAAATCCAAATTAAGCCCAAGACTCCAGCAGCATTTTCATTGCAATCCATGAAGTGCATTTCCTAGTTTGTAAGAGCAGTGTTTCTGCAAATAGATTAAAGCACGTTCGGCTGGTGAGCCTCCCCAAACCATCAGAATTTGCAAGCCACATGTAATGAACCAGCACTCAGGTCAGTGCCTCCTCAAGCTTTTGAAGAGAATTATGGCTCCAACCTCGTTCCATTTCTTCTGCAGGCTAAGCTGAGAATGCCATGTAAATGGGTCACGGCGCTGCCAAATGCAGCAATTGATTTCTCCAATCAAAGTATAAAGAAACAAACCAGTAGGATCTTACTTCTATTAATTTTGGAAGGAAGAGGTTTACAGCAGTTAATGTATCATGAAGGTTAAAAAAATCATTTCCATAAAATACAAGAGCAACCAATTTCACCATTGAGTAAAAGTAAAAACTGGGATTCTTTTTAAATTAGTCCAGAGTGGCATATAGGAACTTAGTAGTTTGCTGCTGTACTGACACTATGACAAATCAAAGTGTAGGGTTTTGCTTTCTTAAATCCAAATGCTCGTGGATCAAGTTCTGGAAATGTTCCAATTCTAAGGCAGGGATCAGTTGTGTTTTCCACCATGAGTTTGCTCCTTGGGTTGGATGCTGGAGGGGCGAGGCACGTGTTGCCGGACCCAGCTCGACTACCTAGTAGTCATCAAGGTCAAAAAATTCATCGTCTCCTCCTTGGTATTCCATGCCCTGGAAGTCCACCCGGTACCGCAAGATACCTGCAAAGAAACAGCCTTTAGCTCCCCCAGGCACAGCTCCTCACTGAGCCCTGGCAGCACAGGCAGCTGGGAGGGAAATGCCACAGGGAATTCATTCAGTGCCCCAGGGAAGCTGCCCAGCCTGGAAAAGCTGAGCCTGTTCTGGGGCTGCATCTCCACCAGCACCAGTGGCACATCCCTGCTCGAGGGTCACTGCTCACACCCAGCCTGGCAGTGAAATCCACAGGGCAGCTGGCTCTGCAGCTACTTTTGCAATGAAGTAAAAGCAGGATTTATGTCTGTTTTCCTCTTCCTACCCCAAACACCAACCCAGGGCTCTGGAAATCCTGTATCCCTGGAATCATTCACTGAGGTGAAGATTTTCAAGGACATTTCCTTTCCAGCCTACAGGGCATGGGAGCAAAGAGGATCCCACCATGCAATGAGGCTGGATCTGGCAGGAAATGAGAGACTCCTGGAATTACAAACCCTGAAACTTAGAAACCTTGCTCCTTATGGAGCCAAACAATCCAAGGTTCTTTCCTCCCGACTGGTGCCCTCTGTAACCTAGAAATTCCCCTTTACAATGCCCTTCTCCCTGGTTCCCACCACCAGAGCTGAGCCCAGCCAGGATGTGCAGTGCTGGGGCTCCCCCTGCCCAGGACTGGCCAGGCTGGCACAGGAGGCACCTGCACTCTGCCAGGCCTGGCTGATGCCAGGGAGCTGCAGAGCAGGACGGGCTCCCAGAGGCCTCACTGCTCCCCAGGATGGACTAAAACCACTTCTCTTTTGAAAAGAAGCAGAAGATCAGGGAGGCTCTGAGAGATGAGCAACAGCCCCAAGTGCTTCAGGAACAGGGCTGGGGTTTGTCAGAGCCCCAGGGCAGGGCAGGGGCTGCCACCAAGCCCCTGAGCACACAGAGCCAGGGCCCTCCTGAGCTCCAGCAGCTGCACAGGGGCACAGCCCATCCCTGAGCCCTGCACAGCACACAGGCACTGAGGAACACAGCTGGCAAATGACAGGGCCCAGCGTGGATCACCATCCTGCTGGACAGGGAATGAATCCACCCTGCTGAACACAATAGTTTCTCAAACTGCTTTCAAGACTGCCAGGAATAAGATTAATCCCACTCATGTTGGCACCAGATTATCAAACCAACCACTAAACAACACAAACAGATTTTCCTCTTGCAGTTTACCTCCAATTCCTCCAAATCCTTTCACAAATTGGGATCCTTCTTGTGATTTGTCTGTAACAATTTCCAATGTTGCTCCAAATTTCTTGTAGTTGTTTGCAAACCACTCCAGGAGGGGCATACTTTCTATGAGTTCATGTTCCTGCCCAGTCTGTGGAGACATTGGAAGGGAAAAATAAATAATAAAGCCCTGTTACAGTCCCTGTGTGTTCAGTACTGAGAAAATCCCCTCCCAAGGTTGGCTCCATGGCTCTGTCAGCTGTAGCAGGGACAGCAGCCCTGCCAGGGCTCCCTCCTCAGGGACATTCCTGGGGGAAGGCATTCTGGCACAACTGCACCAGGCAAGGGCAGGCACAACCAGCAGCTCCTGGTGCTACAGAATTAATCACTGGCAGGGTTTTGGGCCTCTAATACAACATTCAGTGCAGAAGCAGGAGAAAAACTGCCTTGATTCTTCTGCTCCAGTGTCACTCCATGGTACACCTCAGCTTCACTGCTCATTCAGACTTGCTGTGCCCCCTCACCCAGCAGGAACACTGATCCATGCAAGCAGAGCCAAAAGGCACCATTTTCTAACAGCAGGTGCAGTGATTATTGTGAAACAGAAGCCCCTCACTGCAGGTAACACTGCAAACCCTCCATGCACAGCAGGGGCTGGCAGTCCTGCCTCCAGGAGGGAACAGCTGGGAATGGCTCCCAGGCACAGCCAAGTGGGACAGATCCCACCCTTTGGCAAGGGACACTTTTTTCCCAGTTATCCTGCAAAGTAGCACAGACCCCTGGTGCACGAGGGCTGTTTGACAAATGACAGCTCCAGGTGTCAAAGGCATCCCAACGCTGACACTCCCTTGGCTCCTGATCCAGGTCACCATTCCTGACCTCACAGTGGTTCTGCACAACCAAAGCAGTGCCAGTAAGCAGGAAGCAATGGCTCTGGGGCCTTGCCTGCATGGTGGCTACCAAACCCTTGGAGGTGATGGTTTGGTGGTGCTCAAAGACTGGCACTGCCCATTTACACAGCCTTGGCACTGGCAGCAGGGAAGAGTGGAGAAAAGCAGGTGTGGGATCCAGGGGTTACACAGAAGAGCCACAGGATCCTGCCCTGAGGTGACACTGAGTGCCAGAAGGTCACTGTGCTCAGGTGCTTGGGACAAACTTAGCCAAGATGTCCAGAGCTCTGCACCAACACACTGAGAACAAAGCCAGAAGCCCCAAAGCTGAAATACCTCCTTGTCTGTGAAGTGGGATTTATCCTTCTCTTGCTCTGGTGTCAAATACAGGATCTTCTCCTCTGAGAAGGGAGGAAAAAATGATAGTATTAGTTTGGGTAAGGCCACAAGATGCAGTTTAAAGACAGCAGGAGACTGAGCACAGCCAGCAACTACAACACAGAGGGTCTGGGCACCACCACTGCCTTCCTTCCTCTGCAAAGCTCTGTGAGCAACCCACAGGCACAGCAGCACAGAGCAGCTGCAGAGCCAGCACAGAGGGGCACAGGCCCTGCTGCAGGCCCAGCAATTGTGTTTCTGCACACAAGGTCCCCTCAGGCTCCCCTCTGGTACCACGCTCACAAAGCTGGAAGGAGGTTCCAGGCTGGCCCTGGGACCAAGTGCTCCCCTGGCACTGCAATTCCCTCTGTGCACTGGAGCCCTGCTTGCTCCAGCTCTCCCCCCAGAGGCTGGGAAAGCTGCAAAGAGCCCTACACAACATCCCTGTGGTCAGACATCCTCAGGGAGCTCCTCCAGCAAACCCATCCCAGCCAGGCCCCTCAGGTGTCCCACCCTGAGAGCTCCCATGTCCCAGAGCACCACGTACCCTCCGTGCCTTGGCAGTGCAGGACGTATCTCATGATATCCAGGTTTTCATACACTATCAGGATCTCTACTGCTCCCATTTCCAAAGCTTTTAGTGTATCTTCCACACCAAAGCAGTACTTGCCCGTGTCCTGGCTGATCTCATCGAAGTATCGTCCTGCAGGGCACACAGAGCCTGCCATGAGCACCCAGCACAGCACACAACTCCAAACAAGCTGCACCTGAGTGCCAGAAACTGGGAGAAGCAGCTGCCACCACAAGGCCTGGAACTAAGGGGATCTCTGATGGAAGGACAGAGAAGGTCCAAGAAGTCTGGTGTGGAAAAGGAACCAACCAAAGCCCTGCCCCATACCAGCACTTGAGGTGTGCAGGTGGCAAAAGGAACACTGCAAGTGCCACCCTCAGGCAGCATGGCAGGGCTGGGGCAGCACAAGGGCACTGCCACACCTGGCTCAGGAGGAGGCTGCAGTGCATCACTTACCTATTAGCTTTTTCTCTTGGATGAATTTCACATTGGAGAGGACCTCAGTTGACAACTCAATTGCTTGATTGAAGCCATTTTCTCCTCCATATGAAATATCAACTAGTTTGAGCACTTTGGATTGCAACCGCTGAAGGAGAGAAGGAGGAGACAGGAAATGGTGAATCCAGCCCAGAGCAGGGCTCAGACTCCTCACCCTGCCACGGGAGCCACTGCTCCCATCACTGCACTTCACCTGAGGCACCTCTGAATGCACAGTACTGAAGCACAGCTTTCAGGCAACAGGGACCAGGATTAGGTTTACTGCAGTTCAATTCCAATAAAGCTTCTGCTTTATGGGAACACAAAGAATGTGAATGCCGGTTCCAAACCAGGGGGGACAGATTTCTTATTAGCCCTATTTGAAGAACAGGAGCTCTCAGAAATGGGAGACTCCTTTGGGTACATCGCATTTTTAGTTTTGATCAGATCTCTTCAGAGGCCAGAGTTCCGTTCCTCTGTACAACCAGCACCCCACCAGTGCCACCCAGCCAGGAGGGTTTGCTCACCTGATCAAACATGTCAGACTGGCTGAGCTCAGTTTTGAAGTCGGCCGAGCCGGCGAGGACGAGCCCGGCCACGTTGACCTTGTCCCCGGAGATGAAGAGCTGCACGGCCGTCTCGGCCACCTTGCGCACGTAGTTGTGCCGCTTCTCCATGC